TCAAGAATTCTATTTAAATTGCGTATGCCACCCGAGGTTTTTAGGTGGAAATCTTTATTTTACGGCCTAACGTTTCGACTTAGTCGTCGGATAGTGCACTCGCCAACCTTCCACCGTATACTGCGGATATACGGTGGAAGCTTGGTGAGTGCACTCTTCGTGTTGTGTGGGCTTTCGGTTGAGTTCCGAACACGCCATCGGAACTGCTAGGGTTGGTTGGGCGCTTAGTAAGGTAGTGTTCATTTCCTAACCTCGAAACGCGTTTAGGCCTCTGAAGAAGACGACCAAGTCGAAACGTTAGGCCGTAAAATAAAGATTTCCACCTAAAAACCTCGAGTGGCATAGCAATATAAACAGAATAAAAGCTGGAGTGCGGTACAGCTGTAGCGCTACAGTTTACCGAACTCCAGCTTTTATAATTTTTCTTTCTGTATTCAACCCTCTTCTCTTTATGCAGAGTCAGAGGATTCCTGAGTTTCATTGATTCATATGTTTTCTTTGTGGTGCATATAATGAAACCAGTCCTTTATCTAGTCCTTGCTTGATGTCTTGCAGTGCTGCCTCGTGTTGATCCCGATTGCGACATTGTTTTCATGTATCAAAAACTACATTAAAATGTGATAAAGTAGAAAACAGGAGCTCACTATCAGATAAATATGAGAAGAGGGTTGAATACAGAAAGAAAAAACATAAAAGCTGGAGTTCGGTACAACTGTAGCGCTACAGCTGTAGCGCGACGCTGTAGCGCGACGCTGTAGCGCGACGCTGTAGCGCGACGCTGTAGCGCGACGCTGTAGCGCTACAAGTCTGAACGCTGCCTAGCGGAGCAGATCGATTTACGACCATCCGGTACCATGCAGTATTATCACAAAGGTTTTCTTCAGTTTTCGCACTACTGTTTATACTTCGATTCAAGGTAGGTGGTGACAGAGAGCGCAGTAGTTATACATGTGTACAAGGGGAAAATGAAGGTTTTCCACACATTTCTCATAAAGAATCAAACTCGAAGGATATCTGCTCCTCTTTGCATCAGCGAAATTCTTGTGGCAAAACAGCACACATACACGAAACACTGATTTACCTCAGATAACTTATTCTCCGATGAGGCTTCCTGAAATCAATCAATAGAGCCATCTATGGCGTCAAGCATCAATGGATCAAGGATATTTGCTGGATTCCAGCAATCCTCGCGGGAAGCGTAGCAACTCTCCTGATCAGGTTCCCCAGCCGCTTTGAATTTTCTCCTGTCGTTAGGATGGTCAGATTGATGCCAAGGCGTACTTGTAACATGAACAGTTTGTAGAGATATCATAATTTCTTTTATGGCGTCCCCTTGGAACCTTGCAAGAGTTTTGTTCCAAGCAAAGTTCAACTTTTGAGTTATTCATTTTAGAACATGTTTAACTCAAATCTTTCTTTGAAGTGCGTCTTAAAATATTATTAAACGATGAGGAGACAAGTTTACTAGCCTAAGGTGAGATGCACTCTCGCAGGTTGATGGGAACCTGACCTCGGGAGAGTTGCGTAACTCCCCCTCGTAGCAGAAAAACCGAGCCTTGCAGCTGTAAATTTGCTCAAAGAGAGAGGGCGGTGTTGTGCTCTAGAAGTTGAAAACCATGTGTTTACCTATAGCGAAAGTGGCCACAAAAGCGCAACTAGGGTTCTCTTTCTTTGAATTGAAGATGAATGGAAAGGGAACGTACCAGGTCGTCGATGTCCCTCGCGGCTCCAAAAAGTGTAGACAAGGCGGTGTCCACAATCAGCGACGGCTGCGGTTCACAGCGAAGCAACTCTTGATTCTTTGCAAAATGGCAGATCGTGAATTCAATCATCACACCGAAGACAAACGCCTGAATGCGAGCGGCAACTGTGAAACAGGGAAGAGAAGCTTTTTCAAGGAGGCTGGAGTGAGATTCACTGAAGCGACAGTCGCTTCGACAGGTCCGTGATAGACAAAATGGAAATTTGAACGCTGAACAAAGAATCTCACTCATTTTCAATGTTGTCAGCAAAAGCTTGTGATGATAAAAGGTGCCCTTCCCCTCTTCGACTTTGACTTTTACGCTATACGCGACATGCTAAAGCTTGTTCAAGGAGCGGAACACATCAAAAAGTAACGCAATTAATGGCCACCATGAGCTTCACGATTCAAGATAGGCGCCCTGTTCCAATTTTTCGATGGATGGCGACGGCGTGGCTTGGAGCACAGACAGTTTAGATTTTCCGCCAGTTGTAGAGGATTCAGGATTACGTGGTTGTTGGAACAAGACCGCCCTGACCGCGCTCCTAAGCGCGCCGCGTCAACGCCCTATCGTTTGCATGGATTCATTATATATACATATTAGAGAAATAGCAGAGGCTAGCTGCAGTCTTGCTTACTGCCATAATTATAGACCTCACAAGAGCTGTAGGACAGAGGCTGTAGGAATGCGTTTCAAAAGTCGAACTCACCATGCACGATCCCATCCATATGTCAATCGCTTTCATATAGGAAACTGAAACATGAAGAGTGAGTCAGGGAGGCCAGAGACATCCTCTCAACCTGCACTCGAATCTGACCTCCTACAGCCATGTTCGCTGCGAATGATCGGGCGTGTCAAGAGAAGCGGATTGGAGTGCCAGCCTATCTTTCGTTTCGGCAAATGACAAGAAAAGTCATATCGTTCGTACCGGTCGTTTTGCACCAACAGTTGACGCTAACGCTTAACTGTTTCAACAACTGGAGGAGAACGTTCTGGCGAAGCCCTAATTAAACCTCACTGCACCCCTCCCCCCTTCCAGTAAAGTTCCCTCCATCCGCAGCGAACGAAACTGTACTTTCTGGGCAGTGTGCCATTACACCTCAGAGTCTGTGCACTGCTCTTCCAGGATATTGTTATCCCTGGTTTGCGGTCGGGGTCAACCAAGCTCTGGGGAGAGACTACGAGCGCCAATCAGGGCACAGCATCGTTGTGTGAAACACATGGGGGGGGGTCGCACTTTTCCGCTGGGGAGGGAGGGTCGTATTTGGTCGTTGGGAGAGGGGGGGGGGGGACGTATGTGCATTTAAGAGAAATTTGCTGCGTTGAGAAAGAATTTTTCCAGGTTAGTGGCTTTTCGCGTATCCTGTGATTTTTCCTGCTTCATGTACTATTAGGTCATCCCTTTCAAACGTGCCGCTGGTTTTTTTGAATAAAACAAAGAGGAGAATAGATAGAAAAGTGATATTTTAGCTTTAGGATGAGTAAATCCCTCCTTCACCAATGACCCGCTCCCAGTGCCCCGAGGGCCTTTGGACCTCTGGTACCTTCGATTTTTCAATAAGTGTGGGTAAATTGCTGTTGTTGCCAATTTCGGCAAATGACAAAACATTGTAGCGTCTGCCGTCGGAGAGTACTCTCAACTGAATAGAACAGTTGTAATCGCATGGCTTTATGACGGGCGAATGGGGCGATTGAACCCAGGTCTCAGTATTGTTTGTGTCCCAGCACTGATCTACAATACAGTTACTCGGGGTCTGGTACTATGACGAGCAACGGTGGCCTTCTTGTAGTTGTGTGGTAGCATCCATTTGTCGATCTGAATGCCGAGGAACAGGCAATATGCACCGACAGTGACGGATTTGTTCTCTGTATAGAGCCGCTTGAAAGCCACAGTGTGGGAATCCTTTGCTATGATGATCATCCACTTGCGCCCACGTCTTCATGGTAGAACTCGGGCGGCTTCTCATCTGCATTCATACAAAATTGACGATTGTGAGTTTCGGCTCGAGGTCCGAGACCACCCATATTTCATCTAAGGCCTGGGTTTTTCACAGTTGTGAGTGACATCTCATGCTGAGAACATTACTGCTAGAGGTATAGAATCGGTACTGCGTTCGTGCTTCTATAAGAAAATTAGGTACCCATGCGCCACCCTCTTGACCATCCTCAGTTTATCGGACATAACTCGGGCAGCAGTTGCAGCTGGGATGTCAGACTCGCGGGGAAAGCTCGACAAGGGTCCAGGCTCTGTGATCAGATATTCAGTGCCTGACTTCATCCACCCTTTTTTCTTGTGCAGGATGAATATTATGGGACCATCCACGACAACAAATTTTTTCCTTTCTTCCTTGTACGGGCTCCTGAACCAAATCTTCCACCGTGTATTTCGAGAACACCCTTACACACAACTATGGTCCGGCGCAGGTCAAATTTGAGCAGCGCACTTTCCTCTTATGACGTCTGATTTGAAAAACCGGCGCCGATTTTCACCACTCGGGCTTCTTTTCAATTTCTCGAGAACTTCTTCTGGGGCTAGGTTCGCCAAATTTCACAGATACACAGCTTAAGGTACTAGCTTCCAAATGGTATAGTAGCCCGCTGCTCTATCCCCTTTGCTTTTCTGCCATTCCTCTATATGTAGCGGCACGTTTGAATGGGATGACCTAATATATGCCCTCCCCCCTACGCCTCCCTCTTCCCTGCTCGACGAAAAATTTTTGGATGAAAAAATGGAAAATCTGGGAAATTGGTAGATAGCCTAGGGAAGTGAGGGGGGGGACGTACCTATTCAAGTGGGAGGTCGTACTCAGACCCTCCCTTCGAGGGCGGCGGTCGTACCTACACCACCGTTTCACACATCACGATGCTGTACCCTGGCGCCAATCATTAGAGCCAATATCTTGAAAGTCTGCAGCTTCAGACAGTTCCTTTGTCTTCCTGCACCTTCAAGAGTTGTTTATTAAGATATGCTGCTGAGCGCAAACATAAGTTCGAGTTGAGGGAAGAGTGCAGGGCTCGCAATAAACAGTTAAATGGCCGTGTTTGGGTAGTGTACCGTGGTGAGCTAAGGCGCGTCGACGAGCTCCCTAAAAGACGGGGCTCGGGAAACGCCTAAACTGCCACGGTCCACTCCTAGGTATTCGATGTTACCTTTTTAATTCTAGAAGTTTAAGCAATAAGATGCACCATTTGCACTTTTTCCTAGATACATACGACTCCAGACATGGTCTTCATTATCGAGAATTACAAAGTCGAAGTACTTCTTGGTAGTCAACCCTACAACATTTTCCGATTTGATCGTAAGGGGCGTAAGGGGGGATGTTTGTTGTATAGCCAGGAATGCATTTTTCCTTGCCTTCTGTTGCAAGCCCAGCTTCCCTCAACTCTGAACTACTTTGCCTAGATGGCTATGACATATCCTCCGCTGTTCTGTTTAGGGTTGTGCTTGTTTATAGACCACCTAATTCCTACGTCAGATGATGAAGTACCCTCATCGACTCTTTGCTCGATCTATGTACTTCGAATAGGCATCTGGTTATTCTAGGCGACTTTAATATCGATGTTGACTGGAAAATGGGCAGAGCCAACAATTCTATTTCCGCTAAATTTCTAGAACTCTTTCGATGCTGTGGCTTTGTTCAGCATGTAACTATGCCCACACGAGGAGAGTCTACTCTGGACATAATACTATCCAATACTGATATTGTTAGAACGTTTCGGTGTTACCTCCTCTTGCAGCGTCTGATCACAGCATAATACCATTTTAGGATTATCATTTCCTCATCTAGGCCGAGTAAACTTCCATTACCCAACTTCGCCAAAGCCGATTACTCTTCGCTATCGGAGTACTTTTCCTCTATAGATTGGTGGAGCGTATTTGATGGATATGCTTCTTGTGAGGACATGTACAAAAGATTTTGCCGCGTTGTCTACGCAGCACTATCTAAGTATGTACCCTTCAATTCCGTATCTGTGCCACCAACGAAATATCCGAGACATATTAGCAATTTGTTAGCTCAGAAAGCGCGGCTTTATGTTGAGTCACCAAATGACCCATTGTCAGCTCTTCAGTACAAAAAAGTTTGTCGTGAGCTTGATCATCACTTAAAGGCAATTCCCGCGACCGCACTTCATATATAATACAGTTCAAAAATAGAATTGCCGTGCGCTTGTTGACTTACTGAAGAAGAGGAAGCTCGAAAAACCGCCCGCAATAAGACCCTCTTTATTGCAATTGATCATGATCACCGGACGAGTATAAGGCCGCGTTCATAGCTTGCGTTCGTGAAGAAATGCCGAAACTGCAGACGTGCGGAAAGTGCAGAAATGCCGAAAGTGAAGAAAAGCAATAGATACGTATCGATTTGAAGAAAGTGAAGAAATGCCGAAAGTGAAGAAATGCCGAAAGTGAAGAAGTGCGGAAAGTGCGGAATCTGCAGAAATGACGAAAAGCAATGGATACGTATCGATTTGAAGAAAGTGAAGAAATGCCGAAACTGCAGAAGTGCGGAAAGTGCGGAAATGCGGAAAGTGAAGAAATGACGAAAAGCAATGGATACGTATCGATTTGAAGAAAGTGAAGAAATGCCGAAACTGCAGACGTAATCAGCTGTTGTCAGCCTTCCTCCTTCATCCCCTTCCCTTACTTCTACTCCTTCTATCTTTCCTCTACCTTATTTTCCTTCCTCAAGCACTCATCCAGAAATACGATGAGGAAATAGTTTCTGATCAACAGGGAAACGTGAAGGAACGACGCAAAATGAGAAGCATGTCCGCAAGCACGCCAAATTGCACCAAAACTTTAGGATATGCCATTTTTCAAAACTGGTGTGTGAAAGACTTTTTCCTTCATCTTCGTAATTGTCAATCGCTTCTATAGGTTGCTTCCAGCGATCTCACCTAGAAGAGTTTTCCATTTCGTGTGCCTTAGTGACTTTGGGAACGTGAGATTATATTCCTCCAATGTTGTGAGAGCCGCCTTTACTAGATTGCTTATAAATAAAAGAAACAAGCCCAGGCGCAGGCAAACGCTCAAAAGAATGTTGTGCAAGAGCAGGTTAAGAAACCGAGCGAAGAGCTTATTTCAATTTTCTGTAAGTTGTTGGTAGGCTGAAGGTTGTAGCAATCTATGGAATTATTTAAGGCAACCTCATATCCTCCAAATCAAAAACCTTGGACAAAAAGACGGCAGAATACAAAATGCAGCTTTTGACAACTGTCTTATTCACAGAATCCACAATATTTGTCAACGTTGATGAGTCACTGGGTACCACAGGTTAGTAGAGAGTGACAGTTGCTCTGGATTCAGTAATTCTAATAGCCTTTCTCAAAGGCACCGTCCGCGACCAACCAAACTTGAACAACAACTTATTTCATGTTCTTGCAAACTTTTTCCTACATTCTTTGATCAATGCTCCATTTGCCACCTCTTCTAACAAATCTCTCCCCCGAATCGTGCCAACGTCCTTCAGGAAGGAAAATAAGGTAGAGGAAAGATAGAAGGAATAGAAGTAAGGGAAGGGGATGAAGGAGGAAGGCTGACAACAGCTGATTACGTCTGCAGTTTCGGCATTTCTTCACTTTCTTCAAATCGATACGTATCCATTGCTTTTCTTCATTTCGGCATTTCCGCACTTTCCGCACTTTCCGCACTTCTGCAGTTTCGGCATTTCTTCACGAACGCAAGCTATGAACGCGGCCCAAGATGGTCAAGATCAATTGTGAATTGAAAAGACGACGATACACTGGGATGAGAGGAGAGAGACCAGAAAACGGCGGGCGAGAGAGCACAATGGCATCGTCACGATGACACGGGTATCGGAGGTCGGCATGGGCCTATTGGGCGCCAATGGGCTCTAAAACCGGTACGTTCACTTGCTAGTTCGACTTTTGCAGCCAGTACAGGTCTGCGGGTGCCTGCCTGTTCGTCGTGCAAATCTGAGAGCGCTTAGCCTCAATTTATCGCGGACCGTGCCTTTAAAAGAGTTCCCTTTGCGCTGATTAGAAGTAGGATTAGGACTCATACTAGTATACCTGTGCTTCATGATGACACAGGTGAATCTTTTCGTAACTGATGTTCAAAAAGCTGAGGCCCTCGCCAAGTTCTTTTCTTCTGTTTTCTCCTCTGCAGGTAACATAAACCCTGATGTAAGCTCCGAAAGTCGTGTATCTCTTGATACTCTCAGGGAGTGTGTTGGTAACCAAATGAAGACGTTTACAAAAACTTAGATCGTTCAAGTGCTCCACCTCGGTTCCTTTCGATGGTATTCCACAAATTGTTTACAAAAACTGTGCCCTCTCCTTATGCAAACCTATTTGTATGATACTCAATGTTTCTCTCATGTTCTGTGAGGTCCCGATGAGCTGGAAAGAATCCATCGTTACTGCCATTTCCTAACGGTACCCGAGCCTAAGCATGTCTCTTCGTTTCGCCCAATAAGCATTAAATAATAACAATAATAAGCAATAATAATAAGCACACCCTGGTAAAGCTCTGGAGACGATTTAACGTGACAAAATTGTATCTCATTTGATGAAGAACAATCTGATTCCCGCAGAGCAACATGGGTTTATTAGTGGTGCTTCCACAGGTACTCTTATGGCAGACTGTCTGTTAGATTGGAATTTAGCTATTAACAAGGGGAAGGGTGTGGATAGCTATTAACAAGAGGAAGGGTGTGGACGTTATTTATTTCGACTTGTCCAAAGCGTTCGATAAAGTAAATCATGAAAAGCTCCAATACAAATTGTGGCAATTGGGTATCGAAGGCCCCATCCTTAGCTGGATCAGCTGTTATCTGAAGAATAGACACATGTGTGTCAAAGTGGGTGATACTTTTTCACAGTTTCCCCTGCACTAGTGGAGTTCCACAAGGTGTCTTGTCTCCTCTGCTGTTTTTGATGTACACCTACGACCTTCCAGCCTGCCTAAATACCCACCCATTGGTCAGCGTTAAAATGTACGCCGATGACATCAAAATATATGGTGTCTATGACAATTATAACCATGACTGCGTTCACCGAGCGTTAACCCAATCTGTATGTAACATGATGGGGTGGGCTACTGCTTGGGGTATACCAGTTAATTTTATGAAAACTTCTGTACTTCACATAGGAAAAGCAATAGTTGTACCGTACACCGTCGACGGCATCTCCACGTGTTTCGAGAGAAGTTCGCGATCTTGGGATCCTCATGAATTCTAGTTTGGATTTCTCGCATCACATTGATGCTATTATTGTTCGTAAAGCTTTCATGACCCTCTTTGCCATCTTGAGAAATATTCGACAGAACGACTCTTCAATTCTACTGAAGCTTTATAAAGCATACGTCATCCCCATTCTCGAATACGGTTCGCAAATATGGAGCCCTCATACTAAGAAGCTCCAGGCGAAAATCGAAAAGGTGCAGCAAACTTTCACGAGAGTTTTGATGTATCGTTGTTTTCCCAATCCTGAGTATCCGCATAGTATGCCTAGCTATCAGGAGCGCCTACACATTTTCAACCTCAAATCACTGATGCACAGACGAGTGTTCAATGACATTATGTTTTGTTTCAAGATATTGAAAGGGGAGCTAAGGTCGAAACCCAGCGAAATACTGGTCAGGCCGACAAATGGCCGCACCTCCTCGTTGTCCTTACAATGTCCTAAACTGTGCAGAAGCCACCGAACCAGGGTTTTCAACTCACTGTTTTTCCGTGGAGCGAGATATCTCAAATTACTTCCATCAGACCTGCAGGAGGCGCCTAACACCTACACGTTCAGAAGAACTAAAGAAGGTTAACTGATGACCTTGCTAAGCATTCAGGATTCCTGAAACCAGCAGTTTAGTGAAGTCTCTCCTCGGTTGTTTTGTGTTACCGAATTTTGTTTTTTTAGTAATTGTATTGTTGTTTGTTCTATGACTCGAAGCTTATCGCTTGCACTGTTTAGCGCACCTATGCGTGCATGATAAATAAATAAATAAATATCTCAACACTTTTAGACTTAATGAAAATCTTATTCGAACAAAAATTCTCTTGGTGCGAAGCCTTTCATAAGTTCTATCGAGATGAATCACGTTAGATGTTCTTAGTAGTTTTCATGTGTCCTCGGTGCTTTGTACATGTATCCCCTACTTGACATAAACAAGAAACTTGCCTACAAGAGCAGCAAGGGTGCAAATCAAGGGGAGGCAGAGGCGCATCTCTGAAGGGAGAGAGCCGAGAGTTCGGGTGCGCATTCTCTGCCGGAACGCCTTTTTTGTCTTCCGATATGAAGGACCCATTCTGAATGTGCGTGGATGACAACTTGACCTACTCTGCAGTCTATAAGAATGTGCAGTGCACGGTGATCGAGCTGTAATGGATGAACACACTGTCCAAAAAACATAATGTGCGGCTGCGAGTTCTAGGTGAGAGAATGCGATGGAACACAGCTCTGTTGATACCATTCTCATCCCACTGCTGCGTAAAACAGTATATAAAAGAAATACAAAAGATGTAATAATGTAGTGACAATATAATGTAGCGGAAATATATAGATGTTGGAAGAACGCTTTCGATGTCAGACAAATGCCTTCATCAGTAAGTGTCTGGCATGTAATCCAGCCTCTCAACCATTCAGTCATTGAATAGTTTTTCCTTTTTGAAAACAGACAGAAGCCCCCACAAATCCTATCCGCAGCCTCATCGTGGCGTGGGGGTGAACGGTTTTGGACTGTTCCAAAAACGTACCAATGCGGAGGGTGCCACGTCAGAGCCTGGCGAGCTACGCGTGGTTAATTTTTCTCGCCGAAAACAGTAACAACTATGGGCCTCATTCCCCTGAACTGAGGGAACCACCGACAGGGCGACGTCGGCTGGGACCGCTCGGGCGAGGCTGCTAAAATCACAGGGCCAACGGAGATTTAAGTCGCCCAGGACTAGGATGACGATCTGTACTTTCAACGCACGGACGCTTGCATCGGAAGCTCACATCGAAGATCTGATGTTGCAAGCCAGGAAGATCAAGTACGACGTCATCGGACTGACCGAGACGAGGAGGCATCGCCCGCTACACGCCGTATACGAGACTGGAGAAGAACTGTTCCTCGGAACATGCGACAGCAGAGGCGTTGGCGGTGTGGGCGTCCTCGTCAACACGCACTTGGCCATGAACATCGATTCGTACGAAAATCTGACGACCCGAATCGGACGTTTGCGATTGAGAAGATGTGGTTCAACTCCAGCTTTGACAATCTTCGTCGCCTACGCACCAACATCAAGCTACGACGAGGATGAGCTCGAAGCGTTCTATATGGAATTGGAGAAGTTCTACAAGGAAGATCATACCTTCTTCAAGGTCATCGTCGGTGATTTCAACGCTAAGATCGGACCAAGAAGAACGGCTGAAGAACTTCACATCGGAACTCACGGAACGGAATGAGCAGGGTGAAAGGCTGTCTGAGTTTATCATGTCGACCATCCATGGTAACTCGCAGTTCCAGAAGCCCTACTCTCTACGCTGGACATGGGAGTCTCCTGGTGGACAATTCCATAACGAGATCGACCACATCATCTTCAATCGAAGGTTTTGCCTGACCGATGTCGCTGTTGTTCCTAAGTTCTACACGGGATCCGACCATCGTCTCCTTCGCGCAAGATTCCGCTTTTCGATGCGAGGAGAGAGAGCCGCAAAGTTCAAGAAGCGAAGCCCCAAGACCTTCATCAACTGGGATCACTTCACTTCTCTCGCTGGGCTCTGGGAGGATTCTGTCATCGACAACATCGACGAGGAATACGAACGGCTTGTTGCACATCTTCACGACTGCGCCAAGAAGTCAGAGGGTTCCAAGATTACCAAGAAAGACAGAAGTTCGACAAGTGCACCAGGCGATTGACGTTAGGCCACCATTCAGTTGCATGAAGAACAATGATAACTCGAAAAGCATAATGGACACGACCCGTATGCAACACCCGGAAATCCGGCTCTGTAGAGATCCAGTCACGGAAACCTACTTTCACGTAAACTTCGATAGAAGCTGTACGGCTTCCAGAAGGTTCGGTCCAGGGCTGAAAAGAAGCAAAAGAATGCTTTTTAAAAGATCTGATCAGTGACTGTGTAGTCATTTACTATAGCCTCTTAGGAGTCCACAGATGTATACACTCAAGAGCTGCTCTTTTCTGGACGTGTCTGAGTACTTTTCCAGTGTGAGAGATGGGTCTGCGACCTACATTCGTACCAAGGCAATGTTGACAGCCGGTCCATGTCTTGCCGTTCACAGGATTATAGAATGTTAATGGTACATGCCTGTGAAAATTTCTCAGGCAGCGTTCAGACTTCATGACGGTGGCGGTTCGGCCGCGCATTCCAGCGATCGATGCGCATGCTTTCGACTGCATTGATCGCGTCGAACGCGCGACCGAAGCGCTGCCGTCGCGAAGTCTGAACGCTGCCTTATTAATGTGCCATCTCCATTGGCCGCCTGTTTTTCAACACAACTTTTGGCACTTGGTTGCAGTTGCTCAACAATGTATACCAATAAGTGGATGCATACCTTCTGGCAATGCTAATTTGACAGCATTTGCCTGTGTTGATATCGTCAGCAAAGTTGTGATGCTCAACGAAACGCGAGCTGGAGCGGAATCGACGTCAAGCCAGAAATTAAACCTGAAAAAAAGCTCATGGATTAAGGTGTGGCATTCGGGCACTTGTGGGCTCTTACCATGAAATCACTACTATGAGTGCTGTTGGCAGATAGGTTTGCATGACGTGATGCATCACTTCACGCTCCACATAAAACACCGCCGTCATACAACTCCATACACCTTAATTTGTAATCCTACTATATATAAACGGCAACGTCTATCTGTCTGTCTGTAAGTCTGTTTGTCTGTCTGTCCGGAAATTCGGAATCACCTGAAGAGCCAGTTGGAGGGGGCGGGTCAAGGGTGGGTTGGGTAGGGCATGGGCCAAGATGTACGGAACACACATGAACTAAGCTAAGCCCCGCCCACTGTGGGCGGGGCGTGCGCACATTAGTGAGCTACATTTTTCAAAAATTCGTAGCTCGGTTCCAAAAGAGCCTGTATAGGTGGGCGGTGCTTGGTACAAAGATTTCAAAAATTCGTAGTTCGGTTCCAAAAGAGCTCAGAGAGTGGAGAAGTGGCAAACGATAGGCAATCAGTTGGCGGACGAAATGAGTGAGACAAACCCATTCTGGGCGGGGCGTTCTATAGATGGGCGGTGCTTGCTACGAGACTTTCAAAAATTCGCAGTTCGGTTCCAAAAGAGCCCCGAGAGCGGAAAAAGTGGCAAACGATAGGCAATCAGTTGGCGGACGAAATTAGTGAGACAAACCCATTCTGCGCGGGACGGGCGGTGCTCAGTACAAAAATTTCAAAAATTCGTAGTTCGGTTCCAAAAGAGCTCAGAGAGTGGCAAACGATAGGCAATCAGTTGGCGGACGAAATCGAATGAAGCACACCCTGATGGGCGGGGCGTTCGCCGAAGTGAACGGTGCCGAGGACAAAAACCCTCAAAACGCACCCGAAAAACCCCACGAAATGGGGAGTAAGTGAAACTGAGCAATGGTTTGGCAGATGAAGTTAGTGAGGGATAACCGTAGGGAGTATACCAAATGGTTGGTACCGTCGGCAATAGTTCATAATTCGGTTCCCAAACACACCAATTGTGGCATAATCGCAGTGAATGGGATATGTGCCATAGTGAATGGGAGTGAAAATCAAGGGTTCGTAAATCAGTATGTTTATTTATTTGTTTATTTACTGCACAACAATTTAGGTAAATGCATATTCCTACTTCAGTTCATCCACTAATCATCCAATACCGACAGACCACATATTGACTACCAGTCGGATCGCACCGGCTGACGCCGAGCTCTCCTCCTTCTTTTTAGCTCGGCTTCGCCGAGCTGGCCTGGCACATCATAACGGGATGGAATTAGTTAATTGTATGAGCTGCTCATATTGCGCGGTAGTGGTCGAATCATAATAGACAGAGTAACCTAGCGAAATCTGCACCCCTCAGAGTTGCGGAAGGCGTGCTGGTTTCGGCCATAACGCCCATTCTATACGTAGATCTCAGAAATAGATAGGAAGTACAGAATATCAATATGTGTTGCACAGTAGATGAACACATTCCGTTTTTATTACCTGCATCACAACACCAACGATGGGCGATTAACTTGTCATTAACATGCAATCCACCTGCTAAGGTTGCATGAATGGCTGCAGATGACAATATTTAGTTCATTGAATATCTTACAAACTACTTCGTTATTCGTTCTCATCAGTGATTTAAGGTTGAAAAGCAAAAAAAAATATTTAAATACTCACTGAACGCATAAAGTGTGTTCCAATATTGGAGTTTTTGATTTCTCCAAACTTCCTGTTTCAGGCGAAGTATATACCCCCCTAGTGGGATGAGTACATTTTCTAGTGCTATCAGAGGAGTGATGGCTGTGGGAAAATTTCGCTTACTGAGAGGCTTTTTGGCAGTGTAGTGGTCAGAGATGTCGTGAAAATGTCCCCTTATCTTTACTTATCAATTGATAAAATTGCTTGTCACCGTCATCAATGTCGCTATCACTAAAACTCCATAATTTCGTGGTGTAGAGGCTCCAGCGTTTGATTGAACAACAACTGCATCGTTCTCTATCAGGCCCTATCAGCTGTTATCATTTCCTGTCACCCGCCGTCGCATTCTCCACCTTCCCCTTGATATCATTTGCTGAAATCAACGCCTATGATGCTGTGTACCGCGTTATGAGTATGTTGTCCTTTCCACTCTAACTCCCTTTATCAGCGGCTAGCAGTTCTTGTCACCCACATATTCCTGTGCCATAACCTATATCATACCTTGAAAAAACGCCCCAGTGTTCCAGTCGGACCGTCCCCTTCCTTCTCTTGCGCATGCTCAGATCGGGCTGAGCACGCGCAGGGGAATGCGGGGGCAGGGTGGGGTGGGACCGAGAGAGGGGGGGGCGCCCAGTGCTCCCCCCCCCCCTCCCCCTCGGCCCACCCCACCCTGCCCCCGCACGAGCACACGTCCAGCTGCCACGCCAGCAGCTCGTGCAATGGCTCGGAGTGTACCGAATGGTTGTCTTATATAGCGGAGGCCGATATCACGATCAAAACATTGGATTGATACTTCCGCACCGATTTGCCTGTTTGCCTAGCGGTCGTTTTCGCCTCCAGCGAACCCGTGAAGCATTTTGCGGACGGACAAACATACATACATACATACATACATACATACATACCTACATACATACAAACATACAAACCGACACACAAAGTTACTGGTTTATAGAATGAAAGGATACAGTAATTTCACAGTTGTTTACCATTGGGAGGGTACTTGCTGATCTCTATCCTATCCTACTATATATAACGGCGACGTCTGTCTGTCTGTCTGTAAGTCTGTTTGTAAGTCTGTCTGTCCATAAATCCGGCGAAGCCGGCCGATATCTGGCAACAGTTCACTCTTGTCTCTCTTAAACATTATTACTGTAGGTCACTACGGATATAGATGTTTAGTGATGAGAACTATTGAAATATTTGGGATCGACACATCGAGTGAACAACTAGAGATTATCACGATGGATGGGATGTCAGGAGTAAGATGGCGCTTCCAGTCAGAATGACCGAGCCATTTTGGTACTTCAGCAAGGAGAGCATTAATCCTACTATATATAAACGTCAACGTCTCTCTGTCTTGTCTGTTTGTCTGTTTGTCTGTTTGTTTGTTTGTCTGTTTGTCTGTTGTCTGTCTGTCCGGAAATTCGGAATCACCTGAAGAGCCAGTTGGAGGGGGCGGGTCAAGGGTGGGTTGGGTAGGGCATGGGCCAAGATGTACGGAACACACATGAACTAAGCTAAGCCCCGCCCACTGTGGGCGGGGCGTGCGCACAGTTGTGAGCTACATATTTCAAAAATTCGTAGTTCGGTTCCAAAAGAGCCCGAGAGTGGAAAAAGTGGCAAACGATAGGCAATCAGTTGGCGGACGAAATGAGTGAGACAAACCCATTCTGGGCGGGGCGTTCTATAGGTGGGCGGTGCTTGCTACGAAAATTTCAAAAATTCGTAGTTCGGTTCCAAAAGAGCTCGGAGAGTGGGAGAAGTGGCAAACGATAGGCAATCAGTTGGCGGACGAAATTATGAAGCACACCCCTGATGGGCGGGGCGTTTGCCTAAGTGAACGGTGCTGTAGCCGCTGAAAAACCCCATGAAATGGGGAGTAAGGTGAAACTGAGCAATGGTTTGGCAGATGAAGTTAGTGAGGGATAACCGTAGGGAGTATACCAAATGGTTGGTACCGTCGGCAATAGTTTATTCTGCGATTCCTCATCACTAACGGGAGTGCCGCATAGAAAATTTTGATGACTGTCTTCTAGGGGGAGGGGGGGGGGGGGGGGGGGTATATACAAGCAGTGAAACGGTAAAGTGCGGTAATTCTCAAAACAATTTTTTTTCGACCATTCGGGCGAAGCCGATCCGACTGGCCCTCCCTCTCATGGAAAACTTCTCACCGGGACCCACTTCACACCCGGAAGGAGGATCGGCCGGCGAAGCCGGCCGATCCGACTGGTAGGAATGTAAGTAGTAACACACAATGATAAAATAGAAAAAAACCAGGATGAACCTGTTGCGTAGGTGCCGTTACAGTAACCGGTACGAATGTCCTTTAGTTGCATATCAGGCATGATGATTTCAGGATTTCGATCAACTGGCAGGAAATCCTCTTTGATGGCCCATACTAGACGAAGGACGGTTTCAGGATAAGCGTCTGAATCAGGTCAAATTAGAGAAAGCAACAACTAAAAGGTCAAGATTGCACGGATCGTGTCGTGTCTGTGACTTACAGGACAGAACCCGAAGCGGGCACTGCTGTGAATCGAGAGGATATTTCCACAAATCCATATTGCAGGAAACAACCTGAGAATGCTTTTACACTACATCAACTATATCCACATAAAGGAATTTGCAAACCCTATAGAAAAAAGGAAGTAAAAGGAAAGGTATCGTAAAGGAATTATAAGCAAACGTAACAAAGTGAATAGAGCTCACGATGGAAATTCTAGTGTCGTACCATACTCTTCCATCAGGATAGACCCAAACAAGAAAGTTGTCGTCGGTGACATCCTGGAAAGCTGTTTCTCCACTTTTAGAAAAATTGATTTCTTGACTTTGCAAAAAGCTGGCAAGAGAAGCAAGATCGCTCTTCTCTTTCCCTTTTTGCTATAGTGCCACCCATGAGATACCACTGGAACATTCGGGAGTAATGAGAATGGAGATGGGGCCGTTGAAGTGTGAACCTCACCAGGTATAGCTCACCCACTTTGTGTTGTGGCGTTGTGGGTGTTCGACTGGCGAATCATGACTTGGTACAAGTAGGATTTGTGTCCAATATTTACACTCACAAACAACATAACCATATGTTTTCTCGTCAGTGTGAGATATACCATGTAAGTCGGCCACTCCTTACCCACTTATTAGGTTGTCCGGAAAGTTCTGCAGCGTTTTGAGTGTTTCACTTTAAACGATCATAACTTTCTTAACACTCATCGGATTTAATCCAAATAAGCACCATTCGAATCAGCACACTTTTGCCAATGTGACAGCAGTCGAGAAATCCCATCAAAAAAAAAAACTGGGTGGTCGAGAATCCACGAAATCCACGAAGGCTTTTTTGCCTGGTCCTGATTGATGAAGTATTTTCCAGCAAGGGAGTTCTGAAAATGTTTGAAAAGGTGATAGTCGGTTGGCGAAAGGTCTGGGTGGTTGAGGTAGAACTTCAACCCCCAATTCGTTCAATTTATGGATAGTGATTTGTGAAACGTGTGGGCGGGCGTTGTCATGCAAAAGAACGTCCGGAACGTCTCCTGTTATCATACATGATCCATTTTTCATCACAGGTGACAATTCGGTTCAAAAACGGGTCGTTTCTGTTGCGCAAAAGCAGTGAAGAGGAAACCTCGAGACGTGCCAATTTCTGCCGGTCACTCAAATTGTGGGGCACCCACTTGTCGAGTTTTTTCACCTTCCCAATGCGTTTCAGACCATCCGCAACAGTTTTGCCAACGCCTAGCTTTTCTGCAATCTCTCGAACTGTTTGGGATGGGTCAGCCTTCACAAACGCCTTGAAATCCTCGTCAGATATTGCTTTAGGTCGACCGCTATGAGGTTCATCTTCAAGGCTGAAATCTCCAGAACGAAATTTGTTGAGCCATTGCCGCACAGTGCTTTCTCTAGCACTATTGGGCCCCCACACCTGGTTAATTTGTTGAGCTGTTTCGATTGCGGATTGCCCCAATTTATAGTCGAAGAAAAAAATCGTCCGAAGTGCTCTTTTCACATGCTTGAAAAAATCTTGAAAAAGGGGGTCATCAAGCAATGGTGAAACGGCAGTTATACCATCAGATAGCGCAAAGAATTCTCTTCAGGATGTACTACTGAGACGCAAGGGAGAATGAGTTTTTAATCAGCAATGAATGTTCAAAAAATAGTAACACAAGGCGTGCAGAACTTTCCGGACAACCTATTAGGTTGTCCGGAAAGTTCTCAGCGTTTTGGGTGTTTCACTTTAAACGATCGTAACTTTTTTAATACTCATCGGATTTAATCGAAATAGGCACCATTCGAATCAGCACACTTTTGCCAATGTGACAGCAGTCGAGAAATCCCATCAAAGAAAAACTGGGTGGTCGAGAATCCACGAAATCTACGAAGGTCTTTTTTGCCTGGTCCTAATTGATGAAGTATTTTTCAGCAAGGAAGTTCTGAAAATGTTTGAAAAGGTGATAGTCGGTTGGTGAAAGGTCTGGAGAATATGGTGGGTGAGGTAGAACTTCAACCCCCAATTCGTTCAATTTATGGATAGTGATTTGTGAAACGTGTGGGCGGGCGTTGTCATGCAAAGGAATCGGACCCTTTCTTTTGATAAGTGTTGGCTGCATCTGACAAAATTTTCGGTACAATTCGTCGATTTCTTCACAGTAGGGTTCTGCTGTGATGGTTTGGCCTGGTGATAAAAAGTTATAGTGGATCACACCAGCCGATGACCACCAAGCCGTGACCAGAATCTTTTTTTCGGCGGCTTTGAAAATTACCTCGGTGGTTCGTCGAAATCCAACCACTGTCCGGAACGTCTCCTGTTATCATACATGACCCATTTTTCATCACAGGTGACAATTCGGCCCAAAAACAGGTCGTTTCTGCTGCGCAAAAGCAATGCAGAAGGAACCTCGAGACGTGCCGATTCCTGCCGGTCACTCCGATTGTGGGGCACCCAATTGTCGAGTTTTTTCACCTTCCCAATGCGTTCCAGACCATCTGCAACAGTGGATTTGCCAAGGCCTAGCTCTTCTGCTATCTCTCGAACTGTTTGGGATGGGTCAGCCTCCAAAATCCCCCTAAAATCCTCGTCAGATATTGCTTTAGGTCGACCGCTATGAGGTTCATCTTCAAGGCTGAAATCTCCAGAACGAAATTTGTTGAGCCATTGCCGCACAGTGCTTTCTCTAGCACTATTGGGCCCCCACACCTGGTTAATTTGTTGAGCTGTTTCGATTGCGGATTGCCCCAATTTATAGTCGAAGAAAAAATCGTCCGAAGTGCTCTTTTCACATGCTTGAAAAAATCTTGAAAAAAGGGGTTTATCAAGCAATGGTGAAACGGCAATTATACCATCAGATAGCGCAAGAAATTCTCTACAGGATGTGCTACTGAGAAGCAAGGCAGAATGAGTTTTTAATCAGCAGTGAATGTACAAAAAATAGGTGCACAAAACGCTGAGAACTTTCCGGACAACCTAATAATAATAAAGTGGCGAACACGAATTACTACCTTATAGTGATTCGTGTTCGCCACTTTATTTTAGTGAGCCTCTTGCTCTCACCATCAGAGGTGTCAGTACGTACTTGAAAAGAAGCTGATTTAGCGTTGGCAAAGTACACGTCTGGATGCCACATCTCGGCGAATACCTTTTTGTCCTTGACCAGAATCGGTGCACTGTTATTGTGCCCTAATCGAAGATCGTACCACTCCTGAAATAACTCGAATTTCTAGTTGTGAAAACAAGTCAGGATGAAGAAGTTAACCTGCTGGAAGTACATGTCCAGGTGATAGTCCATTGTCTGCGCGCTGAACGAAGACATTCCTTCGATAAACATTGACAGCGAGACGTTCGTCGGAATTCCTGATCCAAATGACTATTTTCAGCGATTAGCAAGCTCTTCAGTGCTCCATGCCTTTTGTTATACCACACCAATTGCATTGCGAAAAGCCGTTATGGGTATGCCACTACCCAGAAGTGATCACTGCCGAACCTTTTTTCGGCACAAGTGCAAGGGGCATTTAGCGTGATTTGGTCATTGCTCTTGACAAATGCAATGCACATGAGGGAGTGGCTTCGACTCATCATAGGTAAATCCTTGGAGGCACCTTTTCGTTATTCATATGAATCGAAGCCTTGTGCAAATAAACGTATGTGGACCACATTAAATCAGCTTTGCGTCAAAAGGTTGCAAAGCAGTAGCACTACTCCCACATCACTAGCTACGTTAAAGACTTCGTAGATTCCGATTAAAGGAACCGATCAGAATTGCGGAGGGATGGAACCAGGAAATGACATTATTTTTTCAAAGAGTCTATTGAAGGTCGGATACGCATTGATCGGACACTGACCAACGTCTCAGGGCACTTGTCAACCGCGACGCCCTCTACTATTTCCTTTTTTCTTCCTCCTCCCCTCTTCTCTTTCCTTCCTTTAAAAGATTTACTTATTCCTTCCTTTAAAAGATTTACTTAAAAACACATTTTTTTGTTCATTCATGCCGTGTACTCAGTAGCATGGGAACGTCCGAACGGAGAGGGAGCAGCAGTTTCCGTGACATCGGCCGGAGAGCGTCGGGCAATAAAAACTACGGCCGTGGGAGGCCAAACAGCCTCCCACTAATGACGCTAGCTAAAACTGCTTCACGGCTCCTGCGGGAGGCCAAATAGCCTCCCACTAATGACGCTAGCTAAAACTGCTTCACGGCTCCTGGTCAAAGCCCCACTGTTCTTTATTTCTTCTCTTTCGTATTCATCGCAACTTCTTTTTTCATATAAATAGTTAACGTGGTCATAATGAGGACATTTATCAGAGGTTACCATCCGTAATCCAGTACTGGTATTTAACACAACCAGCGCTTTCGAAAAATACATAGCTACATCAATGGAAGGTTTTTAAGGCAAATTCGAGTGATTGACATCTAGAAAATCAGCATTATCGTCATAAAACTGAGATCTCAAAGCTCTAGCAGCAAAGCTTTTATTCTGCAATCTCTCTGCAAATATCGGACAGAAAAAAAGCATGTGCAGGGCGCATGATATGTGGCGAATGACAACAGATGGTTGCTGTACCCCGTGGTCATAAAGGCTAGCAATATTGCTTCCGAAATATCCAAGGGACCAGGGCTTTTTGTGTTTGAGTGGAGTCACACATCAAAAAGGTCACGAAAGCAAATCCCCTAATCGAGTTCGTATTACCGGCAGGCAAATGGAAGGAATAGGGGGAAGGGAAAACTCCTGATCAGTGTTTTACATCGCTTCAAGTGGAATAATGGGCTGGGATTCCTGAAATTTTGATTCATATTCAGCTCTGTTACTTTCTTCATTTGTTCTTCATTTGATGGTCATTTGCAGAGGAATTCAGCGCCATATGTTAGCTCTGAACTCAGGGAATCGTTTGATGCACTAACGTTTCATATTGGGTTGGCACATAAGTACTTTCGTTTTTTTTCAACCGGAAATTTCGTTCCAAAGATGAAATGTTTTGCTAGCAAGCTTGATATCATCTGATAGGAAACTTCACGTAGTTTTAGAATATCAAAACGGCTTCGGTTGAGGGAATAATTTTTGTGGATTTTTTAGTCGTT